ATCTAGTCAGGCACCTCAGATTGCGCATGCGTACAAGTACCATCTAGTCAGGCACCTCAGATGGCGCATACGTAGAAGTACCATCTAGTTAGGCACCTCTGATGGCGTATGCGTCATCCCAAGCCGAAGGCCGTCCTAAAGGCATGCGCTCACACCCTGCTGGGGAGGGCTCACTCTGCTCGCAGGCCCCGCTCAGGTCCTGCTAAGGGACGCTGAGAGGAGCCGAAGAGCCGCGTGGGCAGAGGGCAGCCGAGGGCGCGGCCGGCACCCACTCCACGTCCACCCCCTCGTCTGCAGGCCGGGACTGAGACCCCACTGTGGGCGGAGCAGCTCTTTTTCATTTCGTGGCCCGTGACGCCCACCGAGGTGGACTCCGACGCCCAAGTCCCTGGAAACGCCTCAAGGGCCCCGGAAATTCCCAGCCTGTCCCCCACGGCGCTGTCTCGCCCCCCCAACTCCTCCACTCCGTTCCAGGCCTCCTCCCACACTCTGCGCACCCCCTCCTCCAGCGGTCCTCACGTGCCAACCTAGAGTCGCGCTGCCCTGCCTGCGAGGATTCCCGCCTGGTCTCCGCGGAGACTATCGAGGCATGCGCAGTCCCGCCTCCAGGATGCACATTGACCAATGAGGATTCCGCTCCAGTAGGACTCCGCCCCCGTCGTGGCACGCGGCTAGCGGTTTTCAATGGTCCTAGCAGTCAACTATCGCGACACAGCACGTAACCTAGCCACGCTCACTGCGGCATGAGCCACGCCCACTGCTACGTGAGCTGCACCCAGCTGTGCAGCACAGACCTCGCTCGTCACCTTGTGTTTGTGGAAAACGGAGTCCCTGCCCCCAAGAAGTGGCAGTGCCACGGGAGGGCGGCATAGGGCGGACCAGGTGACTGAGGATCAGGTCCTGGCTGGGCTCGGACTTGGGCTCGGGCTCGGAGCCAGGAGGGAAAATAGGGTTCCCGGACTGGAGGCACTGGGATCACGTGGGGATGCGGACCTGGGACACTCAGGATGGAGAGAGGCAGGCAGTTGTCTGCAGTGTGACGGCAGGGTACACAGGTGGTACAAACCCACCGACTCTGCCTTGGGGTTTGAGAAGACCTGGAAGGCACACTGGATGGATGCACCAGCGAGTGTAGACTAAATGAGAGCAGAGCTCAGCCTGCGACTGACCCGGAGAGCACGGGGGTGACAAAAGTGGAGCGAAGCACCACGGCACGCATGGTCCTAGACCAGAGAGGGGAGCCCGAAGCAAATGATGCTCCAGAGGCCACCCAAGAACTTGCACAGAGAGGGCTGGAGTCAGGCCAGCACTTGGGAAGCTGAGGCAGGAGGATGTCAAGTTCGCGCCTAGTTTGGGGACTTTAGCAAAAGCATACCTAAAGTTTTAAAGGGTTTGGGGCCGAGTGTAGCGGTACACACCTGACCCCAGCCCTTATGAGGCTGAGGCAGGAAGATTGCTGTGAGTTCAAGGCCAAACTGGGTTATATAGCAAACAAAAAAATAAAAAGGGCTGGAGAGCGCCGGAGGTGGTGGCGCATGTCTGTAATCCCAGCACTCAGGAGGCTGAGGCAGGAGGATCGTTGTGAGTTTGAGGCCAGCCTGGGCTATGTAAGTGAGTTCAAGGCCAGCCTGAACTGCGTAGCAAGACCCTGTCTCAAAAAGACAAAAACAAAAAACAAACAGGGCTGGAGATGTAGCTCAATGCAAAGTCCCTCAGTTCAATCCCCAAGTACAGGAAAAAAAATAAAACACAACAGTATGGGGATCAGGTGTGACAGATGCCACTGCTGTGTCAAGGAAGATGTCAGGATTTTTTTTTTTTAATGAGAGAATTGTTGGAGATCTTGGCAGGAGCACTTTCAGGGACGTGCTGGGGACAGAGACCTGATAGAAGCTTGATTAGTATGTGACTCCAAAAGAGCAGGAGAAATCTTGCTATATCCATACAGTGGAAAATTATAAGTAATAAAAAGGACCGAATAATTAAAACACTATGAAAAATCTCAATTATAATAGAATACATACTATATGGTTCCATTTATATAAAAAATTTTTTTTGGTCTTTCTGAGACAGTCTCACTATGCAGTTCAGGCTGGCCTTTTTTTTTTTTTTTTTTTTTTTGGTACTAGCAATCGAACTCAGGACCTTGAGCTTGCCAGGCAGGCGCTTGTGCTGCTGAGCTATATCCCCAGCCCTCAGGCTGGCCTTGAGCTCACTTTGTAGCCCAGGCTGGTGTCGAACTCATAACGATCCTCCTGCCTCAGCCTCTCAAGTGCTGGGATTACAGGCCTGCGCCACCACCCCTGGCCCATTTATATAAAATTCTAGAAAATAAAAATGATCTCTAGTGACAAAAACAACAGTGGGGCCGGAGGTGTAGCTCAGTAGTAGTGTGGTCCTTTAGCAGGAGAAAACCCGGGTTCCACCACAGGCACCACTGGAGTAAAAACCAGAAACAGCGGTTGCCCTAGGCCAATGAGTACCTTAGGGAAAAATTACAAAGGAGCAGAAGGAAACTTGGGGATAATATGTTTAATATCTTTTTTTAATGCATAAAAACAGAACGGTCAACTTTATATTTGAGGGTAAAGATGACAAGAGTAATATTTTTTCTGTCTAAATGAGGGGCTGGGGATTTAGCTCAGCGGCAAAAGCGCCTGCCTGGCAAGCGCAAGGTCGTGAGTTCGGTTCCTGGTACCGGAGAAAAAACCAA